GTCTCCGAAGCTTGACTGGGGTCGCTGAGAATATCTTCCAACTGACCAGGGTGCAGGTCTCTTCTTCCAGGCAGGAATCGTCCCCTCTGCCTTTGTTTCTTCTGTTCCTCTTCCAGGCAGGTACACCTCTGTCTACACTGTGATCTGCTACCGCCTTTACAAAGGCACTTGTTGCTCTCATGCCTAGCTCTTTTGATTTGTCCCGGGATCTACGGACCAAGCAGCTAGTCAATAGGTCAGAAGATTCTGTTACTAGGATCCCTAAATAAACCAACCAGGAAACACAGTTCCAAAAGGAACTAATACACTGCTTTATTTTTTCTCAGGACTAACCCATATGTACATTACATGAAAGGAACACTATAGGGTCAGGAACAAAAACATGTATTCCTGACCCTATAGTGTTAACACCACTATCTAGCCCTCCTGGGGCCCTCCCTAAATATAATAAAATCTTACTTGTTTTCAAGTCTGCAGCAGCTGTGTATCCTGCTCTGCCAGGGAGTTAGCGACTCAAGTACCAGAGTCCTAGTGCTCAGGGTAGAAGCTACCAAACACAGGCGATACAAAGTCCGAACTGTTACTCTGTAACAGAGATGCCCGGACTGTATCGCTTCCAACTGAATAGCCAGCGAGGAGAGATGCTGCATTTGCTGGCGGGAAATTTACAGGCTGATGCAAAGAATCCTATGGGTGATACTAGGCTTGAACTGGTCCAGAGACGCCAGGGCCATATCATCACACATGTAATACAGTATGAATTGGTAAACTGTGCTACTAAGAATGCACTGACAGGATGGAAAGGTTAAAGAGGGCCTCATGGTGCCTCCCCCAGAATCAAGGAAGAGCAGAAAGATGTTTCATCTACCTCAGATTCCTTTCTCCAAGCCAGGATCAAGTATCTCAGGACTCCAGGTAAGTTTTAAAAATTGATTTATTTAAAATAAAAAAGTTATAAATAAAAAATAAAATAATACAAAGGTCCAACGTGTTTCTTACAAAATACAGACTTTGTCAGTGGATAAACTATACATAAAATCAATAAAAATAAATATATAAAGCTCCTTACATATGCTGCTTTATATCCTCCCACTTGAGTCCTCTTTTATAAGTCTAATCCCGCAATCACACTGGTGCATTGGTGGGTGTGATATTAAGTTTTTGCTCCATTGGTTAACTCCCTTCCAATCCTTCTTCTCAGATTGCAGTGTGCTTTCCTCACCTGGAGTTTGTCACCTTTTGAGTGGCTCTGCGCATGTGGTGTTCAGCATTGCTGTTTGCATTCCATTTTTCCATCCATTTACGATTCATTGTGCACTTCCTCTTTACTTTCAATTGCGTTTGTGTTCCAACTATGGTTTTTCATCCGTTCCAATTCGTGTATCATATGGCTATCAATTATAGCCACAAAAACTCGTTCTGCTTAATATCCCAATCGAGAAATTAATACAAAACATCTTATATATAATAAAATCCAGTGTGTATTATTGATAGAATTAATTAAATTAAGTTCATTATCAATAAAATATGATACTGTGATTGTGGAAGAACATTGGCATTGTGGCAGGCTTATGCAATGTATGATCTTACACTGTAACTAATATATAAATCTATATTATGGCCTTTTGGCTCCAGTGTATTTAATTAGTGAATAGATTGGGCTTCCAGCTGTACGAATCTTTTATCCCTATCTTCTCCTCTCCAGTGAGCTTTAACATGTTCAATACCAATGAAACTTGAAGGAACACTATAGGGTCAGGAACACAAATGTATTCCTGACCCCATAGTGTTAAAAACACTATCTAGACCCCATGGACCCCCTAAATATAGTATAATCTTACCTTTATTCCAGTCCGCTGATGTTGGCCCTGTCCATAATTTGGCTCCTTGGCTGACATAATCAGAAGTGATGATCATGAGACAATCACAATGCTTTCCCATAGGAGACTGTCAATTTTTTAGATCTCATCCAAGGAGTCGGGGTGTAGGGCAGAGCCAAACGCCACCCTGGCCAATCAGCATCTCCTCATAAAGATGCATTGAATCAATGCATCACTATAAGGACAGGTCAGTGTCCCCATGCAGAGGTGGAGACACTGAATATCAGTGCTGCACACTGTGCAGGACTGACTCAGGAAGCACCTCTAGTAACCATATGAAGAGTGGCCAGTGGCGGTGTTCCTAGGCTGTAATGTAAACGCTACCTTTTCTCTGAAAAGACAGTGTTTACAGCAAAAAGCCTGCAGGGACTGACTATACTCACCCGAACAACTACCCTAAGCTGTAGTAGTTCTGGTAACTATAGTGTCCCTGTAAGCGTTTCAGACTAAACACAGGACAGGTACTGCAATGTACTGTAACAGTATGAGACCTAGAGCCTTATTAACATTTCCTTGAACTGCAAGCCTGGAAGGTCCCTGGCATTATACTATCTGTTTCCCCAGAAGAGTGTTTTAAAAAAAGAATTACTTACCTCAGTTCCACAGAATTGACATTAGGCAGCCCGGAAGCTGAAACACTACACATTCAGACTCCTACCACCATGATCACTTTGAAAAAGCAGAAGTGGTCATGGTGGTTGCAGTAACCCTTTAGTATAAGGCAAAATTAAAAATATTTCCAAGTTTATACCTCTAGAGGGTGCTGTAGACAAACATGTTCCATTCCTAGAATACATAAATATATAACAATAGATGGATGGAGTAAATTTAGATTAGCATAATTACAGTTATACAAGCAAAAATAATCTGAAAAAAAAAACTTTTCCAGTCAATAAATAGGATAGTAAAGTGGTATTAAACATGAAGTTACTATCTAAATTTATTATAATATATTGTATAGCACTTATCACAGCTACTGAATGCACAATGCATGCATAGGATTATACAGTCTGTTCTGTGTGCTGAAGTCTTGCAATGTTGCTCACTAATATACAGGTAAGTAGTTGACTAGATTTAGACTTGAAGAAAGGCATTTTCGCTTACAGCAGAGAAAATGGTTCTTTACAGTAAGAACAATATAGTTGTGCAATACTTTACTTAAAGAGGTTGTCATATCAGATTCTATAGATATATATATTTTTAAAAAGACCTGGATGTTTTTAGTGGAAAAACTGAATATTCAAAGATATAATTATATTAAATTATATGAAAGATTATGAAAGTTGGGAACCATGTATGAGTCCTAAGTGACTGGGTGGTTTTTCACAGCCATACCAAGTGACCTCACTGCCAGCCACCCGTTATCTTCATATCCCTGTTACGACCTCCCACCAGGAACTGGGAACTGACATCGGCCACGTGAAACTGTTCAGTGCTCGGCTGGCTAAACCGTTAACCGGGTGGCGACTGGACACCAGGTGGACTAACATGGTGCTATTTGTGAGGTTAGGAGGCATCTAAAGATGCTCAGGATGTTAGGGCAATCCTCTCCCCAGGGCTCCAGGAATCCCTTTTTATGAGACGGTGACCAACCAGCAGCACACATGGAACCCTGTGCAAGATCGGAAAGTGGCTGCAACCTGGTCAACCTGCTGTTGCTCAGGCTGGGTGTGTCCAATCTGGGTGTGTTTTACACAATGCATTGGTAAGGTTGCACCTATCTGGGGATAAATGGTGTTTGGAAGTTACACAGTGTTAGAAGGAGGTAAACTAGCAGAGGTACCTGCTTGAGTACCTTGTCTACACTACACCACTGAACAAGAGTTAGCTAGGAGATGCGCTAAAAAATTAATACACAAAAATGCCACATATAATTTTATATCTTCAATCTCCATAAATAAATCTTGGATTAAACCCATATGGCAATTGCAAAAACTTTAATTGAGAACTCACCCCTTTTTCACAAATCGCCCGAATACTGAAAGGTATGGTGGACGTTTTATTGGCTACACACCCTCTAATCTACTTAACTGGCTGAACTCTTTGTGTATCTCTTACTCACCACTTTGCAATTATTGTGTATATTAAATCCCTTTCCTGTCACTTTTGACCATTTTGTGTATTGTATCTCCTTGTTGGCCCTCTTTTGCCCCTTTTCGTACATCTTATCTCCCTTTTGTGGTATCTTACTGTCTTATTTTTCTTTTACCCCCTCTTGTGTCTCTCCCCTTGACAGTGGCGTA